AAGCGATGGGCCGTGTGGAACCGCAACGGGGCCTTGGCGCGGCCGGGAGCGTGACAGTTCTCATCAATATAATAACATATAACTTTCATAAATGCAAGATTATTTGTACTAGTTTATACATTTACTGTAAGAGACACTCTTCAATGATTCTTCAACTCTGATTCTAGATATTGTATATTGACTTTATAGTGTGTCTTGAGATTGAACTGAAGACATGATCAATGTGAAATATGAAGATTTGAATTAAGCATTTGAAGAAGTGTTCAGAATTCAGAGTTTTCAATTAATCAAAGAGAAAGATTCAGAGATATACACATGCAAAGTAATTATTCATGAAAGTTATCAGATAAGAGTTATGAAATCAGAGTACTAATACATGATTATTTTTACATGATTTTCTTCAAATTAGAAAGTTAGTATTATTAAAAATTATTATCTGATAGAGTAACTTATCAGCTCAGTAGTAATTTTCTGATTATTTTTCTTTTATTATCTGCATTCTGATAACTTTAGATGTTAAAAAATTTCATCAGAGCTATGATTAGTTTATAATGAATGTTTCTGAATGAAGTTACAGTAATTATAGTAGAGAGATAACTCTTCAGTAATCTGCAATATGATCTATTAATAATTATTTCATAGTTTATCTTGATATTTATGTTGAGTTTTTCATAAATTTTATGACCTGGAATCAGATATGAAGAATGAAGTGATTATTTATTATAATTGAAAGAGATCATTCTGTGATGAATTGTAAACAACATAGACTTTATAATTCACAGTGATTTCTTAAAGAGTTTATGAATCTTCAATAGAAGTGAAAGAAGTGAAAGAAGTGAATTCAGAAGATATAATAAAGATTTAAGAAAGATGATAATTTATTTTTAATAAAAATAATAACTGATCACTGATATGTGTAAGAAGAATTATTATAAGAGAAAATTCTTTCTTAACTTAGTTATAATTTTAGTACTAACTCAGATTGAATATTATCAATATATAAAAGTAAATAAACAATCTTGATTAATCTCTATTATATTTCTTGAAATATATTAATATTGTAAAAGAGAGTGTTATCAAATTACATTATCAGATAATATTATTAAAAATATATTAATATTATAAATATCAATGTTGAAAAAATATTAATACTTATATATTATAGTGATTTGTGAATCATGATAGTTAAATATATATATATATATATATTATTCCTGACTTGATTACAACTTGTACAATAATTTTTGAAAACTCAAAATTAATTTCAATTATTAATAATTATAAACTTATAACTAACTAATATAAAAAGAAAAAATCTTTTTCTACTTATCATCTTTCTTCTCTTTCTTATTCTTCTTATTATTCTTTATAATTCACTTTTTATTCTTCTTCTTCTTCTTCTTCTTCTTATCTGAGATAATAATCATCTTAAAATCTCTCTCTGCTGCCTTCTTAGAGAAGAATTCTCACTGCTTTCTCTCAGTCAGATTAATCTGTATCTCAAAATCCTGCATTTTCTAATCTACTGTCTCAGATTTCATCTCAGCAGTAAGCAGATTGATATACTCAGAGAGCAGAGCTGTTTTCTCAATATTCTGAATTATAAAGTGTATTCAAGATCTGAATAAGGCCTTAATTCTCTTTTTCTCTGTCAGCTCCTGCTAATTAATTAGAGAATAGAAGTGTTATTAAAAATTGTTATCTCTTAATAAATAAAAAACTTATCAGTTTTAACTTCTTTATCTCTCACTTCAATACTCTCTTAATCTTCTTCTATCACTGCTTATTTATAGTAACACTCTTCTTCTCTCTCCCTCTCTTTATCTTAGTTTTAAATCATTCTTAAGACTTCTTCTGATCTCACTGCTGCTGTATGAGACTCTTCACTATCTTCTTTTTCAATCTCTTACAGACAGTGTTATCTGTATTATTTCTATACTTAGTTCAGTCTAAATCTATCAGAAGTGTTATTTAAAATCATTATTATTCTACTCTCTTATAGAGTCTCTTCAAGATATTATAACATGTCTTATAATCTGTCTCTTCTTACTTAAATGTCTTCTTCTTCTCTCTCTTCAATCTGTGATAGTACTTACACATCTTAATGATCTGCAGAACTGCAGAATATTTAAAGAGAGATAATATAATTAATTTCAGTAAGTGTTGAAGAGAAGTAAAGACAGAAGAGACAGTCAGAAATAATATAATAATAATAATAATAATGATGATAATTATAATAATAGTAATAATAATAGTAATAATAGTGATGATAGTAATAATAATAATGATGATAATAATAATAATAATAATAATAATAATAATAATGATAATAATAATGAAAGAGAGAGTGTATTGAAATATATTACTGACTTACTAAATATAAAAAGACTTAAAGAAAATATTAACAGCTTTCAGAGATGTACAGAAACAGCTACAGTGTTGTATAGCAATATTATCTTCATTCAATACATACACTATTGATATTCTTTATATACAGTTATCATATAATCTGTATCAGAGATATATGCAGAAAACAGATCTTTATTACTAGAGTAAATAATTGCAGTAATTCTCTATTTTCATATTATAAAGATAAGTTATTCTTATTTCTTTCTTCTCTCTTTTCTCTTCTTCAATCAATCACTAATTTCAAGCTGGTATGAAAACTATTAAAACACTCTCAGAAACTCTCAAATTGAAGAGTATAGACTAATTAAATTTCAAATGTAGAAGAAATTAAATTATCTTCTACAGATTCAATTACTTATCTTCTCTCAAATAAAACAGCAATTGCATTCCCCCTCTTCTCAATTAAATGAAACATGGCCCGCGAAAAGCAAGTATCACATCAGGTCATAATAATTAACACAGCCTCAGCACACAGAGCTGTATATACACAGTGTATACTGAACTGAGAGACTGTGTGAGTTGTAAATCAGCAGCAGTATTTCAGAGAGAGTCATGTAGAGTGAGAAAGTCACAACTCTTAGTTATATACACAGAGAGTGAATCACTGTAGTAAGTATATATATATTAAAGTAACACTTTTTAATAATACTCAGTCTCTGATATGATGAAAATAGAGTCTCTTTATAAGATCTGTTTTTATCAGAAGTCAGAAAATCTTATATTCTTCAAGATCATCTTTATATATCTTATCTGTGAAATCAATGAGAAAAATCATTAATTTCAGCATTCTGTTCTTAATATTATTCAAGTAACAGCAGAGTTCACTCTGATCACACTTTTTAAGTGTATATTTTCTAATTATTCACATTTATACAGATATATACTGATTATTTATTAGATAATATTAAGATAATAACTTATCACAGCTGTGTTACTCTTACTATAAGAGATACACAGTTGATAATAAATATTGCAAAGACTCTGAAAAGTAAGTATTTTAAAGATGCTACAGCTCTATAATCTTGATTTTTTTTTATTTTTATTTTTTATTTT